TAGTAGTAGTAGTAGTAGTAGTAGTGGTAGTAGTAGTAGTAGTAGTAGTAGTAGTGGTAGTAGTAGTAGTAGTAGCATTAGTAGTAGTAGTAGTAGTAGTAGTAGTAGTCGTAGTAGTAGTAGTAGTAGTCGTAGTCGTAGTCGTAGTCGTAGTAGTAGTAGTAGTAGTAGTAGTAGTAGTAGTAGTAGTAGTCGTAGTCGTAGTCGTAGTAGCAGTAGTAGTAGTAGTAGTAGTTATAGTAGTAGTCGTACTACTACTACGACTACTACGACTACTACTACTACTATACTACTACTACTACTACTACGACTACGACTACGACTACGACTACGACTACGACTACGACTACGACTACGACTACTACTACTACTACTACTACTACTACTACTACTACTACTACTACTACTACTACTACTACTACTACTACTACTACTACTAGTACTACTACTACTACTACTACTACTACTACTACTACTACTACTACTACTACTACTACTACTACTACTACCATTGTTATTACTACTGAAACTACAGGAATACTACAGCGCTGTCACTTCATAAATGCAATGCTACCGCCAGTGTAGTATTAGCGCACCACTACTGCACTACTACTGCCAGAGTACTGTTCTACGGCTAGCACAGTGCCACCGCTACAGCACTACAGTGTTAGAGAACTACAGCAGTGCTGCGATGCGGCGGCATCGGGGCACTCCTACTGCAGTACTGTAGCGCACCCGTTGCAGATAATCGTACGGTACTACTCTTACGAATACTGTATTCGAGTAGTGCATTTACAGCGCCACTACTAGAACAGGACAGCACTTTTCCACAGTAGTACAAACGTATTCTTACAGCACCACCACTAAAGTCATAAACATCGAGGATGCTACTACTACCGTGCCCGAGCTCTACAGTAGTGGACCACTTATGCTACACTACGGCAGTTCGACTGCTACAGCAAATGCTCGAGTATGACATGTACTGCAAGACTTGCGTAGTACCACTGCCACTACATGATAGCGACAGTGCTGCCACTTCATTACTGCAATACTACTACTGGCTTAGCACGGTATCGCAAAACCACCAATACAATACTAGAGTGCCACTACTGCAACACTACGGCTACAATGTTCTACTACGACTATTCGAACGTCACCACTACAGCACTACAGTACCATACAATAATACTACAGCGATGCTGCGATATAACGGCGTTGGAATATACCTACCTACGACAGTACAATACTACACTCGCTGCAGGCAGTAGTAGAGTACCACTCATACGAATACTGTACTAGAGTACTGCTTCTACATGGCCACTGCTACAACAGTGCATCACGACTTCCCAATAGCCCAATCGTGCAATGCGACGTCTATACAAGGCGACTGCAAGGGGGACGGGAGGGAGGAGCGGGGCAGGAGGGGAGAGGGGGAAGGGGAGGATGGGAGGTTGGGGGGGAGGGTGGGAGAGGGGAAGGGGGGGGGCAAAGAAAAGAAAACAAAAAAAACAGGTTGATTTGTTTATGTTATTTTTGTTATGCCCCCCCTCGAATTGCAAACTATTCCCCTTTGGCCACGACTCTGAGAGGTGCGCGAGGCAAACGGAACCCCAACGCACGTGGGCCGCGACGCAAACGGAAGCGGAAACGGTCCAGACAGAACCCCCCCCTTTCCCCCACCCCAAGAAAGAAAAAACGAACGCTCCAACCACCAAAAAAAAAACGAAACCGAACAGCAAACCTAAAACTTCAAAAACGCAAGGGGGGGATTCGGCCCCGTAACCGATGAAGGGAACACCACTGAACTCGCGGGCCCTTGTCCCTCTCCACCCGGCCACGCTCGAGAAAACCCTGCACTTTCATGTCCCGCCCGCCCGACCCGCTGCGCTCGCGAGCCCCGCGCCACCCAATCACACACAAAATCGCTCTACACTGTAATGCTCCTCTCGCCCGACCCGCCCGCCCCACCGGGCCACGCATGAGACCGCTCTACACTTTAATGTCCCGCCCGCCCGACCCGCCTCATTCGCTGGATTCGCTCCACCCAGCGACACTCGAAAATGCCCTGCACATCAATGTCCCGCCCGCTCGACCCGCCTCGTTCGCTGGACCCGCTACGCCCAGCCACGTACGAGAGAACGCTGCATCTTAATGTCCCGCCCGCCCGGCCCGCCTCGTTCGTTGGACCCGCGCCGCCTGGCCACACTCGAGAAAGCCCTGCGCCTCATGCCACGCTCGCCCGGCCCGCCTCGTTCGTTGGACCCGCCCCCCCCCGCACTACGTATGGGAGAGCCCTGCACTCAAAAAACCCCGCCCGCTCGATCCGCCTCGTTCGTTGGCCCCGACCCACCCAGCTACGCTCGGGAGAGCCCTGCCCTTTATTGTCCCGCCCGCCCGACCCGCTCTGCCCCGCTGGTCCTGCTACGAGAGGGTCTCACACTTTCGTGTCCCGACCGCCCGACTCGCCTTGCTGCGCTCGCCCTGCCGCACTCGGAGAGAGCCTTGGCACGACACGTTGCTGTTCCGCCCAGCCGACCCACTTCGCACGCTGGCTCCGCGTCGCCTGTCCACGCGCGACACAGATCACGCACGAATCACTTTAGTGCCCCGCCCGCCCGACCCTCTTCGCGCTGTTGGACGTGCCTTAGGAGAACTGTATACTTGAATGCCCCGCTCGCCCAATGGGCCGCTCCCCCCGCCCCGCCTCGAAGACGACATGAAGTAGGAATGCGCCGACAACGGATATCGAGTTCAAACTCGAAACGGTAAAAACATCAATCCAATGTTTAACTTTTCAACCCTCATTTTTCCAATCCGACGGTCGCACGCTTTTCCGGTTATTTCTTTCGGTCCCGCGCAGAAGCTGTGAACCAATCCGCCCACAAACAACGTGTGCCGACACGCCCCCCTTGCGTCTCGCCCTCGTGCCGTGCCGCCGCCCCTCCTGCGCGCTCTTGCTCCCGCCTCGCACGCTGTGCTGCCGCCCCGCACGGCCACTCCTGGACCTCGGCCCCCCCCTGGGGCCGCGCCGGCCTCCGCATAACGCTCGCCTCTCAGTCGGCGGCGCGCCCGAGGGGGGAAGGCAGGGGGGACGGGCCTCCTCAGAAGGCTCGGGAGGCAACTGAGCGACGATCAGAAGCGGGTCCTGCGCGAGGTGGCATGGCGACCTGGTGCGGTGGCTCACGCGGGCCGCCAGCGCGGCACGCTGCATTGGAGACGAGGGCGGCTGCGCGCGACCATACGTGCGACCTTGCGCGGGCAGCTTACGCGCCAATGTCGGCGCCGTCGACCCCTTTCTTTTGTCGCCCAACTGGCCTTGGCCTTCTGAGAAGTTGTCCGGACCCTCTCCGAAGCCGCAGGAGAGGCTTACCAGAACGGCTGGAGGGCTTCTGAGGAGTCCGCCGCCTTCTGAGAGCGCCTGCCCCCTGTCACTTCCTCCCTTTCGGAGCGCCGCCGACTCACGGGAAGAGTGGGCTGCTCTCAAGACTTCTCTCGGCCCCAGACGGCCGGAACAACCGAGCGAAGCTGCCGACGCTGGGAGGCCAGCATCCCTGCAATGGAGGCAGGCGCGGTGGTCGCGCGCAAGCCTTCCACGAAGGCCACTCGATGCGGGGCTGCGCCAAATTCAAAAAAATTGAAACGTTTCCACGATACGTCGTGTGGTCTCCGTAAGAATAATGGAGGCCATGAAGACCATGAAGATGCCAGCAACGCTTCCAGTGAGTTCTGCACGAACGGGATGTGATTTTCGAATGTTTGCCAGCTGAGGACCAAGCAGTGACATGCTGCACTGTGAACGTGCAAGCTATGCGGTGCATTCTGTGACGTATGGTATATGTGATATGAGCCGTAAGGTGTAAGCTATGTGGATCGATGTGGTGCAACTCATGTGGTGAACTATGCGGTGTGGTGGTGCGAGGCGGCAGCGGGCGGCAGCGTGGCGAAACCTTGTCAGACCCACTTAGCGCACGAGGCGGTCATGAGGGGGCCACGGGCGGCAACGTGGCGAAACCTCGCAGGACCCACACCACGAGGCGGCCACGGGCAGCAATGTGTGACATCCTCGCTTGACCCATCCACTTCTTCGTGGCAGAAATAATAACCCCTAAATGAACACACTTTTCGGGGAATGAAGATGGCACCCCGTACCGTCAATCTGTCTCACCGGCGCATCCAGGTTTATGGCGCTGCTGCGTCAAGCCGCACCCTGGCGCCCAACACGATTTTCAAACCACATGTTTTTTGCAATCCTCGTCCTCAAACCCCCTCTCCTTCTGATCCGGTTTCCTTCTCACTTGCGCCTCTGATCACCTTGTGCTGCTGCTGCTGCTCCTCCTCCTCCTTCCTCATCCTCCGCATCGTATCCTCGGTCCACCCTCGTCAACCCCACAGCGGTATTGTTAGAGGCAGGCTGGTGGTGGTGGTTCTACATGTGTTGTGCCAATGTTTCAGCCGCGAACAAACACGGCAACCATCCGACACTCGCCGTGTCCTCAGAATGGCGCGGGTCCCCGTCCCCTCCCTCCCGCGGATGACCCCGAGTTGAACCCAAGACGACCCCAATCTGACTCTATGATCCCATGATGGCCCTGATGTTCCCAGTGAGTACCCGGCCCCCAGATGACCCCGTCACGATCCCATGACGCCAAGGTTGCCCCAAGACGACCCATGACCCCAGGATGACCCCAAGATGACGCCGTGGCCCCACCGATGCCACCAATACGATTCCGAGCCGATTGCAGTGGGACTCTTCTGTCTTCCCCCTTCTCCTCCACCTCCTGCTCCTCTTCCCTCCTCCGTTGTCTTCTTCTTCCTCCTCCCCCTGGCGCTGCGGAGGACGGTCTATCCGCTCGCCCGCGCGGACACTGACCGCCTCCAATATCGCGACGACGAAGTCGGGCTCCTTCCGTCTTCTTCCTGATCTTCTTCTTCTTCTTCCTCCTCGTCCTCTTCCTCCTCCTCTGCCTCCGTACCCAAGGCCACGGCGGGGGGGGCCTCGCCTGGTGGCCTGCGAGGCTGGCTCCTGCCTCGGTAAGGCCGACGTACTCGATGCACAGCACGTAGAGCCAGGTGCCTGGCCCCGACGAGGGAACTACTCGGCCAGGCCAGGCCGAACTCGGCCCAGGCCGAGTTCGTCTTGGCCAAGCGCAGCCTGGCCGAATTCAGCCTGGCCGATCAACGCCTGGCCGAGTCTGGTGGCCGCCGCCCGGGCATCTGGCGCCACTGGATCCCGAGCTGCCGCTCCGACTGGGGAGAGCAAAGTGCGGGCAACGCCGCGCGAGCTGGGCGCAGGGCAGCACGGGGGGAGCCACACGGCGGCAGCGCGGTGGGCGTACCCAGGCACTCAGCAGGGGCGTGAGGAGCAGGGAGCGCCACCCGAGCAGGGACGAATCGGCACGATATGTCCCTCCCTCCGCCACGCTGTGGAGGGAGAGAATTCCCCGACTCGCCATCGCTCGGACGTCCATTTCCCGTGCATTTTCGGTCTCGTGCGCATATTTCTTCGACAGGGGATCCAAGATGTTCTGTGATGGTGTTCGCCGAGGAAATATGCACTCGTCCGAGCGATGCCAAGCCGAAGTCCGCTGCCGCCACTGGTCACCACGCGCTGCTCCTCCACATAGCGGCCCCCCCCGTCGGGAATCTTGCCGATCACTAACGTGGTATTCGTGGAGTTCAGGGGGCCGTCTTGAAGCCATCTTGGGGGGTCTCTTGGGAATACCTTTGGGGCCTCCCTGGCGCTTCTTAAAGCCCTCTTGGGCTGCTCGTAGGGCCGGCTTGGGGGCATCTTGGGCCCCATATTGGGGGTCGTCTGGAGGCCGTCTTGGAGGCCTCTTGTGGGCCTCTTGGACGCCCTGGAGGCCGAAGAGCCGACATTGGTAAGATCACACAATCACCTTGTTTTTTTTCCATGATTTTGGCCAGGGCGTCCTCTTAGAGCCCTCTTGGGGGCATCTAGGCCGCCTTGCGGCTATCTTGATCCCACCTTGGAGCCAACTGGGGCCATCTGGGGCCATGCTGAGGCCCTGTTAGGCCGTCTTGGGGGCATCTGGGGTCGTCTTGGAGGGATCCTGGAGGCGAGAAAGGCCTCCGAACCTCACTTCCGAAAGGTCTGGCGCGGAGGTGCGAGCCGCCTCCCCCCTCGAGATTGGCTAGCTAATCAGCAGGCCAGCAGTGAAAACAAATACTCCTCAAATGTCCCACACGGCGCAGGGCCCACAAGGGGCCCGCCTTACTTCCTGTAGTTCTTGACGATTCGCGTTGTCCCGCCGGCCCATCCAGCAACGATGTCCAGGCGAGCTGGCGGGAGAAGACAAGAAGATGAACATACGTATGGTGAGATAGTGAGGCAACAAGGGTGGACTTCGAGATCTCTGGGGTCTCTCGGGCCTCTCTGGGAACTCTGGAGGGGGGGCCGAGGTGGAGGGGTGGATGGGGGGGGGGGGGCGAAGGGTCTGACCCCTCGCGGAGGGAGGGCGTGCATCCCCCAGGCCCCAGGCAAGAATGTTAAGAGGGGCGAACCCGTCCCAAACGTTCCATCAACAGCTCGCGGTCCACGCAAATTTCCTGCTCCTCGCAGCTTGCTCAGCGCAGAGCCCGCTGCCTGATGGCCGTCGCGTTCCTGCGATCCCCCGCGAATGCACACAGCAAAACGGGACCTGACTTGTGTAGCCAGCCGGTAGCGACATTAAGGACGAGCGAATATACCTTCCATCAGACAATCTTTTGGTCAACCGTTTGGCGGCCTCACGAATGCCACACACCGAAACCGAGAGGCCGATGAGACAGTCCACTCACCAGAGAAGGCTGATCCCGCACCGAGGAGATCGGGGAGAGGCAGCGAAGACTGGCAAAGAGCCCAGAACTCATGAGAGCACGGTGACCGCTTCGCGACCATCACCTCTCCACGAAGATGCTGGTCACGCACATGTGAAGCGGGGAGCCGCGCGTCGGCCATGCCAGCTGGTGCCCCCTTGCCGTGAAAAGAACAACCCATCAGAAGGTCCGCTGCAACTGCTGCCCTCCGGCACGGTGTTATAAGTTATAAAAATCTGAATTTCCTCAACTCGACCCTGGTAGAATTGTGCACGCCGGGCGGTACGCGAACGTGCGCAATGGCGTTCCGAAACCTGGTCATGGTCATTGCCATCTCCCCCCTTCTGCTGGCGAGAGCACAAACGCACCCACGCCCAGATCGTCGATGGTGACAGATCGATGGGGGGATTGCTGGCAGCCTCGGCCCCCCCGCAGAAAGAAAGCTCAAGGGCCTGGGCGGAGTAACGTAAGCTCGCGAAAGGTAAGAACGCGTTAGGCGAGCGATTCAAAAGAGAAGTTTCGGGCTCGGAAGATTTGCGGCGTGCAGGAGAGCCCAACATCGAATCGAAAAGTCGGATCGGCGATCGAAATTCATCGGATCGGCGGAAATCGGCAGCCAAGTCGGGAGAAGTCGAATTGGCGGAGATCGGCAGGCTAGTAATTGAAGCCTCCATGGAGAAACCAAAATCCAAATCGGAATCCGAATCCGAATCGAATCGGAAATGATCGAAACCGAATCGAATCGAGTCGGAAGTAGGCGTGGCGCCAACCCACAGTGCGGGCGCGGCCGCAAGAATCCCTCGCAAGAAACCCAGCCCTGAGAACCCGTGCGCGAGGTGCACCTGAGGGGAAACCTGGAGCACCCTGAACGCAGCAGCTCCTTCAACGGCTGCGGGAAGTCACCGCGCCGCGCGAGGAGCGAAGGAACCCAGGATACCCTGACGAAAAGCATATGGTTTCTTGATGCGCGCCCCCCACTGCAATGAGAACGCATCGCCGCAACGCCGGTGATTGGAGCCGGCACCTGGCCGCCGGAGCGGGCGCCGACGGGCGCGGCGCGAACGGCGCGGACCCTACCGGGGGGCATCGGCTCCGCTGCAGCGGAGCGATCGGGCCCAGGTGGCTGCAGTGGAGGCCTCCTGGATTGGGTCCGAGCGGATGGGGCCGGAGGATTGCGCCGCATCGCCCATGCGTCGCCGATGCATCGGCGGCGTCGGCGACGCATCGGCCACGTCGGCGTGACGAAAATCGGGCTCCACATCGAGCTGCATCGCCGATGCATCGGCGATGTGGCGCGATCCTCCGACCCCATCTGCTCTGACCCTATCTGGGAGGCTTAGGTACAGACCTGGCCATCGCTCGGACGTCCATTCCCTGTGTTTGTTCGGTTTCGTGCGTGGTTTTTTCGCAGGATGATCCAGGATGCTCCTCAATGATACCCGCCGAGAACAAGTGCACACGTCCGAGCGATACCAAGAGACAGGAGAGAGACATTTACTGGGGTGAAGCCCGCAGGTGCAGTGCCAGAGTGGGGCTTCAGCGACGGCTGGGGGGGCTCGCAGGGCGAGAAGAATACCCGCGGACACCGCCGCCTCGCGGCGTGCTCCAAGCAGGCGGTGCCTCTCCGTCCAGATGGCGACTCGCATGCAAGACTACAGACAGGAAAACTATGCAGGAGGCGGGAGGGAGGGGGGTGGCAGAGGCAAGAACTCCCGACGCCGCCACCACTGCCTCTCCGCCGCTGCCTCTCCACCGTCGCCGCGCCGAGGGGGACCCTGAAACGGATTCTTCCCGTGCCAGTCTGAGTACTTGTCGTACGTGCGCACACTCATGTAGCAATACGCGTGAGGGGCGAGTTGGACAGTTGCTGTTCTTCGATGCATGTTTTCCTAGTTCTCGCTCTCGCTTCTCAATCGAAAGCCACCGCTTCAGCCCATGGTGTGGGCCCAGCCGCTCGCTGTCTAGGGCGTTCCTCCGGGCAGCGCGCACTGGCGGACTCCAAAGCAACACTGCTTGGTTCTTGGACAGGGCGCATATTCGCAGCGCTCGCGAATTCACTGCGCTGCAATGGGCGGGTTTGCTCCGGCTCGGAAGCGGCGCACTTTGTGCTCATCCATGGCGCGGTCGCGCGCCGCGCCCCCCCGGCGAGCGTGATTACATTACTCGCGCACCCAACTGTTTGTAAACGCGACTCGACCACAAGCAGGACCGCTGAGGGCCGCCACATGCAAAAGCACACATGAGGGACCTTCAATACGGTGGAGCGCTTTGCCAAACGTTGGACCACGCTCAAAGTCCTCCGTTTACGCACGCACCCTTGTGACTACGATTCGGTCGGGCATGTCCCCCTACAGGGGGATTTTGGACGAAAAATAAGATTTAGTCAAAGAGTACTCAAACATACTCAAAAAGTATCGTCCCCAGAATATTGTTGGCCTATTGTTGAACATTCCTCCTGTAGAGGAACAGGCCCGACGTAAGTTCGGGTCTGCGTGGGACGCCACTCCGCTGGCCCTCCCAGGAGCTCGCGGAAAGTGGTGACCGTTGCGCAGTTGGCAGGCCCCGGCGAAAGTGGTGACCGTTGCGCAGTTGGCAGGCCTCCAGGGAGGGCGAGGTCTAATCTGGATGCGCGTGTCCAGAGAGTCGCGAGGTCTAGTCTGGTTCCGCGTGTAACTCTACTCCGCTGTGCCTCCCAGGAGCTCACGAGAGTGGCGACGGTTGCGCAGTCGGCAGCCCCTCCAAGGGAGCCCGAGGTGTATTCTGGGTCCACATGTGATTCCACTCTGCGGTGTCTCCCGGGGACCCACGAGCGTCGCGACGGTTGCGCAGTTGACAGCCCCCGGCCGCCGGAGAGCAGCGAGCTCTGGAGGCAATTTGGGCGGGACCGCACTCCACTGGACCTCCAAGGAGCTCACGAGAGTAGCGACGGTTGCGCAATTGACAGCACCCCCCCGGGAACCCCGAGTTCTCGGCGCGATCTGCATGGGACCGCACTCCGCTGGACCTCCAGGAGCTCTCGACAAGGGGGGCGAATGCTGCGCAGTTGGCAGCCCCCCCACCCCCTGGGAGCCGCGAGCTCTTGACGCGATCTGGGTGGGATCGCACTCCGCGGAACTCCCAGGAGCCCACGGGTGTGGCGACATGTGCGCAGTTGGCAGCCCCCCACAAGGGAGGGCGAGATCCAGTCTGGGTCTGTGTGGGACGTCGCTCCGTTGGACCGCCCAGGGTCCCACGACTGTGGCGACAGTTGACAGCCCTCCAGGGCGAGCGCGCGAGGACAGGAATCAGGAGGCAGAGATGCATGGTGAGGAGTCGGGAAGAGGAGGAGAAGGCTAAGGTCATGCAGCCAGTGCTCTGTTTAAAACAAGTATCGGAAACACAGCAGGGTCGTGACACAGACTCTAGACCCCCGCAAACTCTATTCACCGGCCATCGGAAAGAGGGGAGGCGTCATTTGAAAAGCACAAGCTGACCATATTTTCTGCAAGAGGCACCCTGGACGCTCAGGCCCCAGGGGGTTGCTTGTTTTGTAGCAGCACTGCTCTGCCAATCTTGTTCGCAATGTGACCGACCTCTGGGGCAAGGCTGCCGTCGAGCACGGCACGTGACAGCCAACCCAGATGGACGGGCTGTGAGAAGCACGTGAGAGGCAGCGCGGCTCGGGGAGACGAAAAAGGACGAAGAAGGATGAGGAAGATAACAATGAGAGGGATGACGACACGGAGGAATGGGGAGGGAAGGCTGACTTCGTAGGCCGCGCCCCGCCTCCATTCGGGTCGTACGCGACTTCCATCTTCGCCGCTTGCCAAGCGCCCAAGTCGGCCTCGTTGACCTGGGGTCCTGGCGCCCGCTTCTGCACGGCGCGGTTGCTGCTGCCCTCCAGTGTGAAATGCTTCAACCGATTTGAACTCTGACGCGGTGATGATCAACTGCGGCTGCACCCCTTTCTGACTTGCTCACGCGGGGGCCCAGAGTACTGCTATATCGTGCGGGCCACTCTTGTTCACACGAGCACGCTTTTCCACGCCTTCCGCACGTTTCTCCTCCACTATCCTCGGACCACGCTTGCCCACACGAGCACGCGCCAGGGGGCCCCAGCGCCGATCCGACAAATTTGCGTGGAGCTTCGTTTTTTTTGTTTATTGCATTGGCTGTTCCCTCGGGGACGCACTGACTCGGGGTCAATGCAAACCCGGGTCAGTCGGGCTTTGCAGGATCCTGCAGGATCCTGCGCCCTGGCCCGAGTCAGTGCACCCCTGGCTCTGCATAATCCTGCAAGATCCAGCGCTCCGACTGATGCCCCCGTTTGGATTGGCCCAAGACCCCTGGGGCCCCGATCCCCGAGCTTGATCCCCGCCCCGGCCCCGCCCAACGTGGCGCCTTCCCGTTCCAAGTCGGCTCGCTCGGCCGCCTGTGGCCGCGCGGCGGGGGCGCTCGAGCAGACCTCGCAGAGCTCCCCCCACACGCATGCGATCCGTCTGGCTTTGGGGAGGGGCGGCGCCACAGTCAACCCGTCTAGTACGGACGCACGATAAGGATGCAAGGGCCTTGGAAGGCCATGCCGACGCTTTGCGAGCGGGGCGCGGCCAGCGAAAGCGGCCACGGATGGGCCGGAGTGGGAGGATGCAAGAGTAACATTGTAAAGGCGTTCATCCTTACTATGCGGGTTGAGTGTAATCCGCGCCGCCCCCTCTGCTCAACGCCAAGATCACTGAAGCACCCTGGGACTTTCAGAGATTTTGGCATCTCAGGGGCATCCTTGGGAGGCTTTTGGGCAAATGCTGATCCAAGATTCCATCGGATAGCTCAATCCTGTCCCCAAGATCGCACAATCTGGTCCAACATGGCTCAAAATGTCCGCCAACATGCCTCCAAGACGCCCCCGAAACCGCTCCAAGACGGCTCCACGTAGCCACGGAGCGTCCCAAGGAGTCTCCCGAGAGGCCAACTTCTTTCAAGGGCCTGGGAAACACCAGTGCGTTGCGCCTTCTCGCCTGCTCGCTTCCGAGGAGAGGCCTCCGAGGCCTCGATCTGGCTCCAATGCCGTTCACGAGAGCCCCAAGAAGGAACCCAGAATTGGCCCAAGACGACCCCACGAGAAGCCAAGAGCGCCC